TGAGCTCAATAATTGCTTGAAGCAATATTGGAGATTTATAATTACTCCATGCTTTACCCTTTTTATTTTCTAAAAAGCCTCTAAGTGTCCAAATAGCTGAGGAACTATCAGTATTAATTTTCACTGACGTCATATTGAGACGACATATATTGCTACTAAAATAGCCCATAATTCTGCCCTAGTAAATGAAGAGGGACCTTCTATCCTTCCACAGATATCTATTGGGGTGTCTATTTCTGAAATGTCAAATATAATTCCAAAACTCATTACTTTACTTTTATCCGTTTGTATTGTAAATTTTGTTTTTATTTGATCCTTTGATGATAGAGATCCATTGATATATACACTTATGTTTTTTTGATTTACAAGTAAGATTTGTATATCATCGATTTTTTTTTGGATATCTATAGTAAAAGTTAAAATTCTTTCCCAATAACTGTTACTAGGTGTTATATCTTGAATTGTATTTTCTTGTTCTAAAGATTTACTTTGTTTAATAAATGTGTTCATTGAAAAAGGTGATAGTAATAATCTGTTACATTGTTTACGATCATTTTTGTTACTGAGGGATACCACTGATTTTTGACATGGTAAAGTATATATGTCATCCATATTTATATCAAATATACATCCCTTCAATTTTTCACCTTTATCTTGTGTAATAAGTCTTTTGGCTCATACCTCATTAATATCACATCCATCACAAGGTACTATAGGAGAACTTCTAATATCATCCATAACATCTGTTATATAATGTCTAATAGGAATTGTAGTATCTAACTTCCTTGGGTTTTTGTATACTCTACCTATTAATACTTGGTTTTTAGAACTAGTTGCTACCATTAGTTGTTTCTTAATTATCTCTGGAGCTATAGGTTGTGTTCGATTAAATGGATTAACGTCAGCTGACTGAGTTATTTCTTCCCATCTAGTATTAATTTCCGCACAAACTTCATTAAACCAATAAGGTATTATACTAGTTGGTTTCACTTGATCAATGTTTAACCACTTCAAGGTTTTTGTCATGTCCGCATTTATAAGTTGTTCGATAAATAATACTTTATGTTTTCTACAAGCTTCTCTATTAATATTATACCAGGTTACAGAGTTCATGAACTTGTTTATAGAAATATTACCGCCAATAGGACAAATTGGAAATTGATTTTGTGTAGTAATGTTAAAATTAATATCATTTTCTGCCAATAAAGCTAGTATTTGACCATTTAGCCCCAGGTGTGTAAATTTGTATCAAGATTCAGCGGATAATTGCCATATGGGTTCATCAGATCATATTCTATTTTGTAAATACTGTAATCTGATTTTAGTAGTGACTCCACATTCGTTATCCATATTTAATCTATTCATTAATTCTGTTGCATGTAGTTGTAATTGTCGATCCTCTATATTGAATATATGATATCCCCAATGAGAATGTAATATACTATCTGGTAGAGAAGATTGAAATCCTACACTACTTTTGAAACATTGTTTGATTGCAGAATTTAATTTATTGGTCACTGTGTTAGGTAGGATCATATCAGTTAATAAATATTCAGTTTGAGGAAATATCACGTGATTTATGATATATCTTAATTGTTTATCGGTTAACTTTTTTCTTTTTAAAATATTGGTCATTTTAACAATGTTATTAGTCAGTTTACTAAGTTGTTCTTTCTTTTTACCATCCTCTGATATCCAAACACCCAAGTATCTGATTGCATTCTCAGGTTCATGTGGGAGTAGAGTTGATTGTACAAAATCAATGGCATTAGTTTCTCTATCATTTGTAGAGTTTATTACGATTAAATCTGACTTTGATGAATTCACTGTTATCAAATTGAGGTCAAAAAAGGATTCAGCTACCTGTGTTATCTGTTGCATATGTTCCTTAGTATCTGCAATCCAAACAGTATCATCCATATATGCTAATGACGACGTTTGATTAGATAATTTATTTGTTGTTTTCTTTGCCAAATTTACATCCCACGTGACTTGCATATTATATCCCATATCTAGAGAAGCAATTTCACACAGAAGAGGATCATAAAAGATACACCACAGTAATGGTGATATACTGTCTCCTTGATCCACTCCTCTTTGAACTTCGTACGGGTTATGAGACCATATTCAGTAATGCCTTGTGCCATTCTATATATAGTAATGTCCCTTATGATACTTATAATTTTTTCAGGAATCTTTATTCTTTCCATTGATTATCTTGGAACAATAACCATAATTCTTTTTTTTTGTTCTTTGCATCTTCTATTAGGTTATTTAGGATATGGATGGGGTATGCAGTCCTGTCCCCAGGAAGTCCAGCCCAATTACTAGGAGATAGAATTTGATGATTCGAAAATACCTTCGTTAATCTATCATTTATAATCTTGGTAAAGATTTTTCGCATTGTCTCCATTAGTGTTATTGGTCTTGTGATCTCCAGATTGCCCTCCCATTCCTTTGGTTTAGGTATTAATACCACTGAACTATTTGTCCAATCTCTTGGTACTTTGCCTGTTGTTAAGATTTCATTAAATATATTTACCATTGTCATTATACCCACATTGTTCATATGTTTGAATATTTCGTATGGAATTTTTGAGGGGCCAAGTGCTTTATCATTACTAAAGTTCATTATCGTTTCTTCTACTTCTTGTATTAATATAGGCAAAGTCACTGGATTATAGATTAATTTTGATATCCCTACTTTTGGGGTGTATTGTTTCTCCCATTGTGAAGTCAAGTTAATAGGATTATTTCTAGGGTTAGACGTTCAATTAAATAAATGTAATTTCACCTCCTCTTTTATTAATTCTGGAGATGTTATTATTTGTACAGAATTGTCATTATTTGATTTGATGATTCGGTCCAGTACAATTCTTTTCTGTTCTCGTTCCAACGCTGATGAAATCATCTTAATCGGAGAGGTTTCAAGAAAACTTTGTCATCTTTTTATATATTTTTTTATTGAGGCATTACGTATTCTATTCATATCAATTTTAATAACTTTTTTTAGCGCATCCCATATATCTCTTATGTTCTTTATCCAATCTATTTGTGTTGTAGGGTTGTTTAATGGAAACAAGGGGATAAAGTCTTTGTTTTTTGAATTTAATATTGAACAATTATCATCAAATTTTTTTTTCATTTCTG